TATATATATATATATATATAAAATCCATCTTCCTCATCAAGTACTCAGTATTCAGCATAAATGCAACCGTCACAAACGCTTCTATTTTGTATTGCATATGTCAATCTGATACGCGGTGGAGTAGGCGATTCTAAGACTCACATTGACCGGTTGTTTGGTTTGACGACTGGCAATCTAAACACTGAAACTGAATGATCAGCCATTTGAGGCCTCAGAAGTACTGTGTGTATATGTGTTGTTGGAGCTATAACATCAATCTTCTGACATTGTTTCTAGCTTTTACTATATGTCGTCATCTGGTTTAAGTAGCTGCCAATGGACTCTCGATCAACTTCCAGCGTTTGTAGTCAATATGGTTCTTAGTTCCTTTTCATTCACGATCATCTATGTTCCGTCATCCCAGACCTTTTGGTTACGTGTACTGCCTCAGTTCATTTGATCTCACTGTTCACCCTTTATGCAGTTTTTGTTTCTGCTGTTTATTCAGTTGCAGCACCTGGAACATCACACTTATAAGGTTACAACTCATCTATGTACTCCATTGGAAGAGAAATAGATCGCGACAATAGGCTCTTCCAGGATTAAACTGCCCAAGGATGCTCCATGTTTTCTATTAGATTTTGAACTACTGACGCGTTGCATGAAATGGTGATTATGCCTTCATATTCCACGGGACAACATATGCTATTGTAGCAAGCATCTACTCCAGAATATCGACTGTTCTCAATCGTGTTGCCATAAATAATTGTCCCTTTGTATTTCATCCATCAGAAACGCGAATCCATCATCATCATCCGCCGATTTACAACTGGAACTCAATCTCATGTGTTCCTATTTGCGTAAACTGGGCGGAGGTACGGTAACGCTAGAGAACGGGCCCACTTCTTGTTTCCGAGTTCGACGTGCTAGTTCTCCACTATTGGACGCTAAAGCTGATACAGGATACAACCATCTCACGCGTGCACCAAGTTGTATATCAGGCCCAATCCATGTGACCATTTCGGGTCCGCTGACGTCCACTCCTCGCGTGGTACCATTCCTAAGTCACGGTTCCCCTTCTGGTGATGAAGCATTTCTTTCCGGCTCTTGGCTGAATGGAACTCACACGGCTCCTCTCAGTCGGAACCGTTCATCTCCAATGCAGCATCATCTATCAGGGGAAGGCATTCAAATGGATGACCTCCTCACACCGGGGTAAGCAGTGTTCTCTTCAAAGTATGTTTTTCATTTGAGGAGATATCTTAGTATCCCGTCACGTTGTCATAAGTTCTTTTTTTGAGGTATAATGCAGCGTTTTGTAATAATCCATTAATTTAAAAATAGACCCAAAGAATGCCCTCTCCGTCAATTTTGGTTTAATTCCACGGCAATCGTTGAGGGTTCTCAAGCAAAATGTAATCTTCCATTTAAAGTGCGATGATCAATCTGTGCTTGCTTCGGCTACTTACTTAACTAATCACCAAGGTTTTATGCTTTATTGGAGAAAGTTTCTTTTGCATTACCTTTGTAGAAGCACAATTTTGACTATTTGTTTTAAGAAAGTTTTCGTTGTAATGTTATCCGTGACGTTATCTGTCGTTTTTGTCATACCTTCCACACCTATAATTACTCATCTATCTTCGGAAAATGTTCCATTTACCTCTCATGAAAAGTGCCTTTTCTCAGACTCCTCAGTGCTTTGTCTTTCGCTGAAACGTTTTTATTGTGCTGACATTCTACTCATGGTGCCTATCGTCATTTACCTCTATATAATCATATCTGTCTTCCTTCTCTCTCGAACGGTAGTGCTACGTGCACGGATCCCTCAAAAACAGCCTTTAAGGTCCGTTTCACCACGCATCCACCTAATTCAGGCATTTGATTATCAGCATGAGGAAGCACATGTTGAAAAGATTAAATTGAAGTGGAAAGCTGAACTTAATACCGAGGTAAAGATATATTTCGCGCGCTTCATGTAAAGAACTCACCAATTGTTGATGGATTTCTACCTCAACTGAATCCTTGGAAACCTAGACCTTATTCACCGTGAATGAATTTCTCTGTCATTGGTTTGACTACGTTTATATCATCCTCATCGTACAGCGGAATACAGTGAAGCGAACTTCACTGTTCGCTGTCCAACTCACATTACATACAACGTAGGTGGGAATGTGTAAAGTAGGTAAAGGTTGGGTCTATTTTTGAGGACGGTGGGAAAAAAGGGAACCTTCGTGGTCAACTCAGAGTTTTTTCAATTTTTATTACACACATTCGTGTGGCGAACAACAGACGGGACGAACCCCATAGTCACGAAGACTTGCTACTTCGTCATGGATACCTATAACCTAGACCCCAGGGCTGGGAGTGGAGAACCACATACGGCGTCGATAGGTTAGGTGTAGTATTAAACCGGACGATCACAAAGCTGCCTACCACCGAATTCGGGTCGCAGTGGCGGAGAGTGCACAGTTCAACTGTGCATACATAATTCTTATAACAGGTAACAACGAGAGTGCCACTGCTGTCGGTTCGCTTGACGTCCTTCAGTGTCTCCAAACAACAAGTTTTGGAATCTTTCGGACCACAGGCCGGAAAAATGGAGACATCTATTTTATCGCCCTGTGCACGTCTTCATGCGTGTATACGTTTATAATCATTTGGCGAAATCTTATTTCACTATTGTGTTGTCATGCAACTGCCACTAAATATTCATCCTCAGGTGCTTTAAAACTTGGTCAGACTGAATTGAAACTCGCTCGAGGTTTTTGAAGAATCAATTCCTAATTATTCCTGAATGATCTCATTAGGTCCCTCTGCTCTGAGGCTAAGGTTACACAGTCAGTTACTTGCTACTACACTCACTGACGTGTGAAACGGTCGCACAAGCCGTTCAATAGAGGGGAGACAAGGGCCCAGGATCTAGGCTGTATTCAACATACAACTGAACGACTGGAAGGGATCAGAGGAAAATTTGGAGGAACGAGTACGACATAATATAATAACAACAAACTAGAGTTTGATATGACACACCTACTCACTTGGTTAAATTCTTCAGGGAACCCCCGCCATCACCCATGACCACGGATGTGTTATTCGAACTGTGGGATAGTATGGCCAAGGACAATCCACAATCCGTACAATCGCGACCTCAGTCAGAAGTGGCAAGCGCGCACTGTTCCAGTTTGCCACGAAATTTGGGTCACGGGCTATATGGGTCTTTCTTGAAAACGAACAACGAGCACCACCCTATCTCCTGTGACGTGAGTGGTGATGCCTCTGAGCCCATAGACATGGTTGGACACTTCGATCCTATGCACGAGAAGATGCACGCAGATGAGCCGGGTAAGTTGCCTACTTGCATGCCCACGCGGGTCATTTGAATTCACTTCACGATCTCTCGTATCGACAGTGTAACCGCGCGGTCACCTCTTCCGTGCTGCAAGCGCGGAGTTCCCTGCCGGATTTCACGATACTACTTTTCCTCATTTCTCAATCACCAGTGAACTATTATCTGTCTTTTCGGTTGTCATCTTTCAACAAAATGGAATGCTTGAGGAAATGTGCATGAACATGAACAGTTAGACTGTGCGATCTGTTTGTTGATTGTACTGGCCCTTTCTTCCTTGTGCGAGACAGATCTACTCCCCACCTGCCTTAAACATTCGTACTTGTTAGTTTGACTGTGATCGACTAGGTTTGCTTCATTATATTTTGCTCTGCTGTGATGATGACGAAACCCGAGTTGTGTAAAGCGTTTCCTCCACTAAGTATAACTTCGTTATATCAACATAATAACGTTGCACTGACATACTCGTGCCGAAAATCCGTTTGAAGTGCTTGATCATGGTTCTCTTGATCAATTGCCACTGGCTGTCACTCCAAACAGACTCTCCAAGTACCGCTCCTGCGGTGCAGTTGTACAAACATATATCCGTCTAATCGAAACAAAAGTGGTTTTAGCCCATTGGATTCTAGGTATGGGACAACCAGTCGAATTTTGTATGATCTTTTGGCGCATAATGATCCTAATAAAAAAGGAAGTTGGATATCTCAATACTACAAAACTGCTTACTCCTGTCAATCTCACTGCATTCTCTGTGAGCATTACTGTACCTCCACTACGTGAGACGAGGTGTGATTAACATTTTGTCATGGCTCCTTTAGTTTACTGTTCTTTACTGTTGAATAGTTGCCTCGTGTCTAGCTTTGATGCGATGCCGATGTTTCGCTCGGAAATCCAATTTGCTGTTTGGCACAATGAGGTTAAATTTTGCCAGATGTCACTTTTTCGATAGTGCCTAAAAGCCAGAAGCTCCAAAGAAATCCTGTTTGCTATTACACGTCATTCGTAAGGTATTACAAAGCGCTGCTTTCAAGATGGTTATAGGTGACCCTAAACTCACTGATCACCACCGGACTTCAGACTGTTACTATCATAGCTGATTTGCTTATCTTTGTTACAGTTTTCATTTCACGCGACAACTAGTCAAAAAAGATTGTCTGTGCGAATAATCCTTTGGTGCAATCACTGTCATCGATTTGCATTTTTTCACGTTTATGCAGCAGTCGTGGGTGCACTGTTCGTTTCACGCTTTTGGCTTCCAGAATTTGTCACAAGTGTGTATTTACTGGTGCTTTATTGTGCACACACGCATACACACACAGGTGCGAATATATGTAAATTACAGTTTCTCTGTGACCCTAGCGGCACAAACATATTCTTGAGCTGAATCAGTTACGTCGAATTTCTGGTTGGCCGTGATTCCGGTATAACTTTTCGTGTCCCTTTCGAACAACGAGATTTGTCTACATCCGACTGTTCGTTAGTGGCTAGGTGCGCAGGTAAACCACATGCCTGTCGTTTCCTCACATTCGACTGAATTGCGACACCTCCTTACACAGACTGCCTTATACTGCTGGTTTCTTTTATCTTTTACCTGTTCTATGAGTTCGCATTTGTCTGGTATTTTCTGAACCTGTATTCTGGTTGTATCACTTTCGGTTCTCCTATACGTTCGGCTCTATATTCAGTTGGTTTCCATGTCTCCTTCATCTTAGGCAACAATATGGACTTGATGACACTGCTATTTAGAGGTCTATCTTGAAATTTTTTATCGCAATCAGTAATCAATACATTAGTTTGATCAGTCCGTGCAACCCCCTATTATTGTAAACTGTTTGACGTCTATTCTATTTAATTCTCCCATGTATTCAATGGTAAAATAGAGAGAGAAGTATCAGGGTGAATAGAAGACAAGTTTCTCGGAGCGAGACTATTACAAATAAAGTAACCGACCGAACTACAAGCAAAGAACGATACAGCCAAATATCAGATCGTAATATCAAGAAACGTCTTGTCTAACCTAACACTAACCACAATAACCGCGATCATCACGACCATCGAGTGAAATTAAAAAAACCGGACCTTCCACTTGTTGGACCCAGAACATAAGAATACTCAGAAAGTGTATATTGGCAGAACAACAAAACTACCAAAAGCGAGACAGAATCATGTAAATGACAGTAACTGTTTGTGTAGTCTTTGGCTCGGTCGAGCGCATTGATACAAACGTAGTGGGATCAACCAATCTGCGAAGAACGATGTAAGTAATGACCCGCACTGCATTAGACCGAGAATTATCGAGTGAATCCATAGCTAGGCAGTTTCAAGGGGAAATGATGTGAGCACTTAATTACTTAATAACATTTTTCCTTTAGATTCCTTCTGTCCTATTGATTGTTTTCATGACCCACTGGGTACCAGTTATATTTTATCTGACTTGGGAATGGTGTTCTGCACGTGATTTGTTTGCTTCTGTTGTATGCATTGTTTCAACCAGCTGTTGGTATAAGGTCACTTTGAATGGATGCATTTCACCGAACGCATTTGTGATACTTAAAAGAATGCAATACAACTGATTACTCAACAAGAGTAACGCAGTCGATTGCATAGTTGTCAATCACGTTCTACATTTACACCCTACTTGTGATTGAAGTGCTAATTATCTTTTTATCCTGTTGAATTACACACTCCAACCACCCATGAGTGCGCTGTAGTACACATGATTTAAAATAATCAGATAACATTAACCTGAGAAATTACCAACAAAGTTTAGTTTACAACATTCCTCAATAGTCCAGGCTGTACCAACGTGATGACTCTGCACTCTGACGTGCTGTGATAAAATTTCGTACCTCCATGACCACGAGAAGTAGATAGGAAAGTGTGGAGAGAGGGAAGGCTGTGTAAGCAAGGTAAGTAGGGAATCTGATGGCACACTGATTCATATTCAGAAACACCGTCTTGAACGATGGGCGGAACATTTTAAGGTACAGTTCAGCTACCCCCCGTCGACACGATACCTCCATATATCTGCTGCGAATGAGCAAATACTGCTATTTGTCATCATTCCTGCATCTGAAAAGGAGGTTACTCGAGAAATCAGTTTCCTCAAACGGTATAAAGACTCCTGCCCATATTCAGTTTCATTTTACACAACCATTAACCGTGCACTACAGTGCGCCGGTTTTGGCTGCTATCTTTCGGCTGCCCATTTGGATGAACATTAAGAGAAAGGTTGAAAGTAGGATCGAAGACAAAAAATTGAAAAGTTCAGTGGATTAATGATACGGAGAAATTGATAAAATGCATGAACGCCACTGTTTACGACACCCAGCCATATCATTCTGTCTCTAACCATCGGGTGCGACCAACCCGAAGTCTCCATCCAGGGAGCCTAACGGGACCTGTGTGACCTAAACTCCTGGTTAGGATATCCATACCCTCATACCAGGTTTTATCTTGACCACCTTGGGCTTTCTTCCACCCACTACCTGCCTCGGCAAACACCGCTCGCTGTGGCAGCCTACTTGGAGACGTGCGTAACACGTGCCCCAACCAACGTAATCCATGGTCGACCATTTGCTCCAGTGGGCGTCCGCGGTTGCCCAAAACTTTTCAGCTGAACTCAGCATTGCTCGTCCGGCTGCCCCACCAGATTCGTGCGATGATCCGTGATGCGTCCACCGGGTGGGATGTAGCTGCCAGATAACAAAACTTATCCACCTGCTCTATTATTTCTCCAGTAAGGATGAGACTGGGTGCTAGATCGATATAGTTTTGTAGTAATATTTTACACTTTGAAGGTGCAAAACGCATACCAAACATGAACACACTAACACTCAAACTATCCAGAAATGCTTGTAACTTACCTGGACCTACTCCTAGTAACAATATCGTCCGCGTACTCTAGATCACACAGTTTGCCACCCGAAAATAAGTCAATACCGCTATCCTCGCACGAGGATAGGGATAGAGAAAGCAGAGACCTAATCCGTGGTGCAGCTATTTTGCAGTCTACAGAGAACAAATAAAATATGATGAATTTGCAGTGAAGGATGAATTGCAGCCCATTGTTTCAATGAACCAACGGTAGGGCGAAAACCGCTGCTACCTATCTGGTGCTCCGTAGAACGTCGATAGGGAAACGATTGACAAATTGCTGATCAACTATGATAAAATCAAACTCAAATTTAACTGCAGAGAATGTTTAACTGACTGCAGTAGTCAACCACTTAATGGCCGCTTCCGTCACAACTACCGGTAAATAGCGGTTTTCCTCTCGTTTGTCTGGTGCAACAATATACTGTCTACAAATCGCTCTAGGATCCTTTTTACTGGGAATAATTAGCACTAAAAGTGCCAATTTGTTCTGAATTATCAGTAGACCGAATTTTCAGCGCTCCGTTTGTCAGATGCTTATTAAAGTTACAATTTTATTTGAGTGGTACGAATCACTGGAAATGTATGTGCTATCCCGATCTAGTGGGTTTTCCATACACCGAGCGTTCGACAGATTGCTTTTTATGGCGTTTTGGACAAACATCAAGAATTGTTATCTGGTTTTCATCTACCTGGTGAATGTTGCTAAAAGTTCATTGGGACTAATATCTTTGTCCACAAAAAACAACATATGACAGATATCAGTTCGGTATAACTTGCGTTCGTGAATGGGAATCTCGAGAGTATTTTTCAATAGCATTGCCATGAGGAGGTTTCCGAACAATGGATGTAGTATAGGGTTCGTCGCCGCACTGGCCCTCTTACGATAAACAATGATAAGTGACAAAACTAATAACATTACAAAATGATCATTGAATCTGGATTGCATGCTTTATGTTGATTCAAACGCTATACCTTGTAAATCCGTTGTAACTTCATGTGAATCCCACCGATCTAATTCCAATGAGAACCCCACAAATTGATTGGTGATCCAACCGTCACACGTCACCGATTAGACTCATTCAATAGCTACTCGGAGTGATTATTGCGTTCTATCCGCAATTCCACTCACAACAACCTGTCACATACAGTTTCTCC